AATAATTAATTATTTTATATCCATCTTATTAAAAAATTCTTCAACTAATAAAATTGAATTTAATGAGTAAAAAGAAAGATTCAATATAATTTGATAAATAATTTTATACGCATGCCATCCTCCCTTGAATGAAGAGAAATTCTCCAGAAATAATTATATGATGGTGGACGGTACGTGGGGCTTGCCTAATTTTTGTGAACACATGTTTCATAAAAAAATTAATATAATTGTGGGCTGCCCAAATTTAGGGAACCATTTTTCAGTCAATCAGTCATGGCAATTAGCGATTGCATTGGGTGGCTTCGAAATTTGGCCTATTAATTACATTTTGTCACTTTTCTCCGTTGCGTGGGGCTGTGAGATGAAAGCCTCCTACACTGCAATCAAAAAATTGGAAGAAAAAACAAAAAAAACTGTTGAATTTTAAAATTAATTGCACTTAATTTATATGCTACTTTACGCATGTAAAATCTTTTCAATTTTTTAGGATAATATTATAATTATAGTATTATATAAAATTATAAATTTATAATATAACATAATATTAATATATATGATGTAATATTAAACAAGTAAATACATATAATATCATAAATAGATATCGATTAAAAAGATAATTTTATAACGAAATGTTATATTGTAAATTTATAATAGTATGTGATATTATAATTATAATATTTTAATTTTTTTAATTTTTATATTTTCTTTATATATTAACAAGAAATATTTTCACTACTAAAAAGTAAGACATTAGCAAGGAAGTATCAACAACATAAATTGGCACGTGAGTGATAGTTTGACATTACTGACATATATTACATTGTCAATTCATTTAATAGTACCATCAAACTACCTTTTGAGTACTTGAGAATCAGTAACGCAAAATACATTGTTTTTTTTTTAACAGCGAAAATGTTATTTATTATTAAACGGAATACAAGGGTACTCCAAACCCTTAGAAAACAAAACTTAATACAAGGTGTCGACACCCAAATAAAGTGTCGACACGCAAAATACATTGTTGAAAACAATATAACCGACATAAGATTCCTTGCTAAATTTTTTTGACTGTAAAAGAAATTTAGCAAGGTGGCAGACATCAATGAATTAAAGAATCATTGTTGTATTACATAATGCCAATTTCCTTAGATAGTTAATAACATCCTAAGGTATGCCATGTCAATGATTTTAGACAACATCGACATGGCTTAAAATGTTGTTTGAAAGTTGATTAGTAAGTGCAATTACATTCAATTAAAAGAATTTAACATTATGAGATACATTGATGATTTCTTCAAAATCTAGATAAATAGCCATTTCTTCATTCGCAACCTTTACTCTTCATCACTTAACTATTTTAACTCAATTTATATCTTCACACTTAAACTTTGATACATTTTGTATTTTTTCATATGTAATTTCTTTTGTTAATTATTAAAATCATTTTTTCTCCTGATTTATTAATATATATTTTACTAATTTATTAATAACAATTTTATATTCCTAAATATGATAGTTGCTAAATAGATAGCCAAGGATATTTAGTTAATAATTTTAGTTTCTAGGTGTTGAATTACATATTTCTTCTATCATATTATTTTTAGTTCTTTAGGATGGAAAAAGATAATTTTTAATAGACAAATTAAGAAAAAAAAAATAGAGATTTTGGAATTGAAAAAGTAATAGGCTGTTTAGATTAGTTTTTTTTTTAAAACAATTGATTGCTAATAGTTGATATTTAACGATTAATAATAGTTGAGATCTATAATTCAAAATATCTAATATATTGGATTAAAACCAGTGGTTAATAGCTATTCCTAAAAAATCAAAACAAATACCCTTTAAGATTTTGAAATTATTTCAATTAGTTATTCCATTATTTAAGTATTATTATAGTGAGGCATTGTTTCTTATTTTAATAAAAAAATATTCATTTAATAAAAAATTAGCAGAAATATCGAATTATGAAAATATATTCATTTCTTAATTTTGTTAAGATTCTTAAGAAAATATCAATGAAATAGATAATCAAAATTAAAATTTTTCTAAAGAAAATAAATTAGTTTTAATATAAAAAATACTCAAGACATAAGTCTTGTAACCAAAATCTAGGAATTAGGATGGTATTGAATCAACAATGTAATGAACCTTGTCGATGAGAGATTGTAGATTTTGCAATGTACTACAAGTCAAAAATACAATAATTTAGCAACATATACTACATTGGTAAATAGTGAAATTTACTACTTTTAATTAATTACACATTTTTTACTTGATATTCCTTATAGCTAGAAAGGTTATGCACGTTAGTGAAGGAGCCATTTAGTAATGTGGTGCACGTTGGTAAAAACATGAGGATTTTATTACCTAAAATTCCCTATAGCCAGCAATGTTATCCATGTCAATAAAGGAGCCATGTAAGAATGTGCTACATGTTGATGAAAGCGTGAGGATTTACAGCTTGTATTTCACATCGGTGATTTGCACTTTTTAAAATTATAATATAATCATCATTTTAGCATACGTCAGTGAAAGTGAGGGAAATTTTAAATTTTTGTTGTAGATTATTTTAATAAGATAGCATAGTAATGTACATCAGTGATTG